ATTATTTTCTTAAGTCAACACAAAGACGGTGAAGGGAAAGATGGAAATAAAATAGAAGCCTCAACTTCAGCAAAAGACAATGCATCTCCATTTGAGGTAGCCCCTTCCAGGCATTAGGACTTTCAGAAATTGTCACCAGACTCTCTCTCCTGCGAGCCTGAGAGAGTTAAGGGGACTTATTCAGGAATTGGAAACATTCAGTTCTGGATTTTTGTGCCTTTGTGGGTTTAAGCAAAGCAGTTAGCGTTCTTCAGGAGGGGTTTTGTGTTTAATATACATGAGTTCATTCGACTACAATGGGAAAAGAAAACTCATTTGTTCTTATAAAAGTAGTAAGGAAAGGTAACTTTAAATAGACTGTCAAAAAGGATCCCGCTCGAGGGGGTTGCCTTCCCGCTAAAGGGCCTACATTCAACTGTAATTTCACCCCGTTATGTTGTGCAGTAATTCCTGAGTTTATTCTCGCCACTGGTGCTTATTTTCTGATTTATTTTTAAGGTCATGAAAGAAAAAGTGCGGGCTTCGGTTATGCTGTCCTCTGGGAAGGAGGTCGGGGGAATGTTGTTTTAGATGCAGGAAAAAAAACTGTGAAGAGTTTGGGGAGACTGTTGGCTATTAATGAAGAGTCCTGGAAGCATGTTTGGACAATCGGTTTCTCCATTTTTCGAAAAGCCTTTTTAAAGCGATTTTGATAGGTGCTGCATGCTAGCCGGCTTTTCTGCTGTTTATTGTCTATGTTAAACTAGTCCCAGGATCCGAGTTTTATTTATTTGTTTCAATTTCTGTTCTCGTGGCCCTGGAAGAAAGCGGGCTCGGGCTGTTTTTCGTTTTTTCTCTGTCCTTCTCTTTTTTTGCTCTTAACCTCCCCGCGTTTTGTTTTTTCAAGGCCCCAACCTCCAGCACGTTCATCCGTGCTGCGGACGCCGCCGGAGGGGAGGTGGCAGCGGGGCCGCACGGAGGGCACTGCGGTACCCGCGCCCGACTCCCCTGGGGTCCCCTGATGTCACCAGGGTCCCCGGTCCCCGCGGCCCGACGAGGGCGAAGGCCGTGTGCTGGCCGCCCGGCCGCACGTGTGCTAGCCCGGCGGTTTCATTAGGGAGAAAGACGATGAAAGGGGAGGCCGGGAGGACCGCGGAGCTCCCTCTGCGTTCCCCGGCTTTCAAGGGTCCTTAGAGCCCTTGAATGAAATTACTGGGCGAAATGGGGTCTGGCGGGAGCTGTCGTGTCGCGCCCCCCTCCTCGGTTTGTACGTGTAATGCCACTTCTGAGAGCGACAATCGGGCTGCTTGCTGGACAGGCAGGGACAAAAAGGAGATTAAACCGTTTTAAATAATAATAAAAAAATATCCAAAACGTAAGCAGAGTGGATTACACTTGCTCCAGCGCCTCGGTTCCCCCCACATTCCCCTAAGAGCCGTCCTGGGGCCTCGCAGACCGGTGGTCGCGGGCCGGGGCAGCGGTGGGGACACGAGGGGGGGCACCCGGGGAGGCCGGGCAGCCCTCACCCGCGCTTGGCTCCGCCGAACTTGGGATATTCTTCTGAGCTTGTTCTGTTGCCTCTGGGTCTCCGTCCGTCGCCGTGTTAGATGTTGTGGCCGAGGAAACCCCGCACTTTTCTCCACTCAGGATCGTGCAGGATGCTGGGGAATGCTGCCCAGGCTGGTCGGGCTGAAGGATTCCCCCTGCCCCCTCCACGCGAAAGGTGTTCCTCATTCTAGGGCATTTCAGGGTGCATCTCCTCAACTTTTCCACGGGAGACTACCGTAAACTTACCGTATGATATCTGAATTTCTCAGAGACTGTCAGTGCGTTAAAACTTCCCTGGCTAACTTCGGCTACCGAGCGTTGGGCTGCTGCAGCATCAGAGGGGGGAGAGGGATTTTCTCTCTACATTTTCGTCTTTGATTTTTTTTTTTTTTTTTTTTAACGTAATGAAATTAAAACTTTTGGAGCTCATAGTTGACATTTTGTGGAAAATTGAGTTATCAAGGCAGTAATTATTTCACAGGGAGATAAAACTCTCATAGCCCTAACTGTCAAATAAGGCCCTTTTCAGATTTTAATTACAAAATAAAATTAGTCTGCTCTTCCTCGGAAGGGTTTGTGAGTGGCTAAACAGAGGTTTCCCCAATACTGGTGGTCGTCAAACTCTGCTAATTAGCAATGCTGAGAAATTCCAGTTAACAAGGACATTCTCTAAGTCTCTGCAGGTTCCCTGCCGTTCGCCTTCATTTCCATAAGAAGATTAAGAGTGGAGGGGAACACACTCAAATGCAGATGCAGAAAAGAAGCGTTTTTAACAAGCATCATAATAGTAAGATGCTTGGCTAGTTCTCACCTAATTACTGCAACTTAAACCTCTATTTGCAGCTAAGGACAAAAAATGGGGTTGCAATCTCCCATCTCCACAAGGCTGCTTTATAGTTTGCTTTAGATTGGTTACTAGCAGGTTCAGGGGAAAAAAAAATAAAATAAAAAATCTGTGTATTATTTCAGATACAGTTAACAGGATAGGTTGCATCCTTGAAGCTCTTAGAGAAATTGGCGAGTGTTAGAACAATAAATACATAAAATCCAAGTAGTTAACATTCATTTTCTTTTCAAGACAATCATAACCTGGAAATAAGTGTGTGCGGCAGAGCCCATCCCTGGGAAGGTTTGCAGACTATTTGTTTAATGTAGGCACTTTTCATTTCCATAAATTATACCAAAGGCAACGATTTTTTAAATCCACTCGGATTAAACTGTCCCTCTGCAGGCCTCCCTTCCAACGTGTCTATGTTCTTCTAGAGAGTGGTGGTGTCATTGTTATCAGTACCGAAAATCAGGGACCATTTCATGTGTTGTTTTTTTAATTTTATTTTATTTCATAGCCAGCATCTCCCTCTGCCCCTGCTTCTGCCCGGTGTGTGTGGACATATCCTCAACCAAGCGCAGCTCCATGCCCAGAGGGAAGGCAGGAAATGCCCCAAAAGAGCCACCCCCTCACCTTATTTTCTGCAGTGCATTATTATGTATATGTGCCAGATAGTTTATTGCATCGATAATTAAAACTGTTAATTAAAATAGAGCTGTAAATACTCCCGATAACACAATTGTTAGGCATTTCCCATCCTTTATCCTTATGATAAATGCAATTAGGGAAGTTCCAGGCCCCGAAAGGCCCCCGGGGTGCACCCATAGCCCACGTCGCCCTGTCCCGCGTGAAGCACAGGGCCGCGCACCCCCACCTTACATCACCCCCCACCCCCCTCCGCTACAGCCAGAGCGAAACGGCACTTTGCCTGCCCACAGCCAGCACTCAGTTATCGGGTTATTATTACGATCAACACCACCCTCCCTTTTATTTTAGAACTTAAATATACCTAAGGTTGTTTTGGGTTGCGTTTTTCTGATGCTATTGTTGGGGGGTTTTGTTTTATTGGGGGGGGGGGTTGGTGGGTTTTTGGGTGTGGGTTTTTGGGTGGTTTTTTTTGTTGTTGTTGGTGGTGGTTTTTTTTTTAAATAACGTTATCAACTGTAGACCACAGGGAGAACAATAATAAAGTAAACAGCCACTGTGCCCTCCGGAGTGTCTGGGCAATCAGAATTCGTTTATATCCTACATCTCGTAATTTGCACCTATTTTTCGACGGTTTAACCTATCACTTATCTAGGGGTTATATATACATTTTCGAATTAGATTGAACCCGATAGGGTTTATTTGAATAATCCACATGCAGGAAAGAAAAGATGCCTCCCTATTCGTTGGCTGTTTTTTTATTATCGTTATTATTATTATTATTTAGATTGGATGTAATTGCCCGGTTCCTGCCCCACCGGCCCGGCTGCCCGTCCCTTTCCCGGCTCCCCGCGGCACCTCCCCGCCCGGGGCAAGGCCTGACCGGCAGGGGGCGCCGCAACGCCGCGGCTGAGTCCGTGCGGGGCACCCGGGCGCTGCCCGCACCATTCCACGCCCGCCGAGCCCCCGCACCCGGGCCCCTGCAAGGGGTCCCCCCCTCCGTCCCGATCCCCCTCCGCCTTAACGCTGTGAGGGGGCTGGAGCGAAAGGTGGAGCAGCCCCACCAGGGCGGGGGAGGCGGGGAGCAGCGCGGGGCACAGCGGATGGGGCGGCGCACGTGGAGCAGGTCCGGGGAGCGGCTCCCCCCTCTCACGCTCTGCATCCCCTCTCCCCTCCTTCCTTTGTCGTCAAGTGCGTTTTAGCAACAAAGATTGCAACAAGAGTGTGGAAGTAAACTTAGCCGAGGCTTTGTGCGGCCCGTGTAGTGACAACAAGAGAAATAGCAGGGCCTATTTGTAGCGCCCGAGCACTTTCCTCCGCCCCACGCTGAGCCCCTCTCTACTTTCTCCTCCGCCGCCCGCACCAGGGGCACGGGCAACGTTAGGCCGCCCGGTCCCTGCCCCTGCAGAAGGGGTCCCTGCCTCGCTTTGTAGATTTGGGGGATCCGTGTTTGCACTGGACAAACCCCATCCCCTGATGCCGTAGGTTGGAGGGAATGGCTTAGTGCGGTGCGCCACGGCCGAAACGGCGCAGGGCGTGGGAGGGCACAGCCACTCCCTGGGATGTGCGGTGCAAACTCGGCTCCCGACAGCGGCAGGCAGGGGAGAGACGCTGTGCAGAGCCTGGCTCCGCTTCCCCGGAATCCTGGCGCCGGCCGGCGGTGGCCTGTGCTCGGCGATCCGGGCCGGCCTAGAAGGGGAGACCGCTGCACATGCCGGGCCCCGCGCAGCCGGGGGGGATGCTTCGTCCCGAGAGACAGGGGCAAAGAGGGGTGGGGGCAGGGGAGAAGCCGTTCCCTCTCCGCTCGCCCCATGACTTCTCCCAGCCCCAAACCAAAGCCAAATTTAAAAAAAAAAAAAAAAAGGGAGGGGGGAACCCCACGTAGCAACAATGCTGTTTACCCACTTCCTCCAAAAGGCGTGTGTGACCTGTTGCTGGAAGGGGGGGATACAAAGGCTTCCCAGTGGCTGCCTGGGCCGCCTCCGGGCCCGCCTCCCCGCCGAGCCGGCCCGGCGGCTCCGAGCCCCCGCCCCGTTTCATGCAAAACCGGGGGTAGAGACTTGTCCTCAGTGGCGGAGCCGCCGCGCGCTGATTGGCCGGGGAGAGCACATTTATTCCCTGACAAGCCCCCATCACATGGATGGTTGTCTATTAACTTGTTCAAAAAAGTATCAGGAGTTGTCAAGGCAGAGAGAGAGAGTGTGTGTGTTTGCAAAAGGGGGTAAAGTAGTTTGCTGGCTCTTTAAGACTGAGGTGGAGAGAGAGAGAGAGAGCGGCGGGCAGAGAAAAGGGAAAAAGGAGGAAGAAGTTTTTTAAAATCGAGGCTCCGGCGGCAATAATAGCAGTTATTAGCATTATTAATCCATCAGTGAAGAGGAAGATCCTGATCTCGATCCAAGCGTGGTTTTGGGGAGTCCCCCTCCCCCCTTTCCTACCCCTCCCTAGGAAAAAAAAAAAAAAAGTCCGACTCGGGACTTCGCTGCGGCTGCTCCTCGCTTCTCTGCTCAAGGCTGGTTCCAAGCAAAAGTAGTTTGAATGTACAACATGATGGAAACCGAGCTGAAACCTCCCGCCCCCCAGCAAACTTCGGGGGGAGGCACAGGCAACTCCAACTCGGCCGCCAACAACCAGAAGAACAGCCCGGACCGGGTGAAGCGCCCGATGAACGCATTCATGGTGTGGTCCCGCGGGCAGCGCCGGAAAATGGCCCAGGAGAACCCGAAGATGCACAACTCCGAGATCAGCAAGAGGCTCGGGGCAGAGTGGAAACTTTTATCCGAGGCGGAAAAGAGACCCTTCATTGACGAAGCCAAGCGGCTCAGAGCTCTGCACATGAAGGAGCACCCGGATTATAAATACCGACCCCGGAGGAAAACCAAGACCCTCATGAAGAAGGATAAGTACACGTTGCCGGGGGGCTTACTGGCGCCGGGCACCAATACCATGACGACCGGGGTAGGGGTTGGGGCCACCTTGGGAGCTGGGGTGAACCAGAGGATGGACAGTTACGCGCATATGAACGGCTGGACCAACGGAGGCTATGGGATGATGCAAGAGCAGCTCGGCTACCCGCAGCACCCGGGCTTGAACGCTCACAACGCGGCGCAGATGCAGCCCATGCACCGCTACGATGTGAGCGCCCTGCAGTACAACTCCATGACCAGCTCGCAGACTTACATGAACGGATCCCCTACCTACAGCATGTCTTACTCCCAGCAAGGGACCCCGGGCATGGCCCTGGGCTCCATGGGCTCTGTGGTCAAGACGGAATCCAGCTCCAGTCCCCCCGTAGTCACTTCCTCTTCTCATTCAAGGGCTCCTTGCCAAGCTGGGGACCTTCGGGACATGATCAGCATGTATCTACCAGGTGCTGAAGTACCAGAACCAGCTGCCCCAAGCAGACTTCATATGTCCCAACACTACCAGAGTGCACCTGTTCCTGGCACAGCCATTAATGGCACACTCCCTCTATCACATATGTAAGACAAAGGGGCCGGGGGGGGGGGGGGGGGCGGGGAGGGGGGAAGAAAAATTAAACAAAACAAACGACAAAAAAAATCCTTTTATTAGAAATTCTGGACTTCTCTTTTTTTTTTTTTTTTTTTTCTTTTTGGACTATTTTTGTACAGAGAAAACACGGGACGGGGGGCGGGGGGGAGCAGAAATTAAACCGACAAGGAACGTGTATAGATCTTGGAGGGGAAGCAACTACACTAAACTTTTTAAAAGTTCTAGTGAAAACGGTAGGAACTTTGCAGAAAGTTTGCAAAAGTCTTTACCAGTAATATTTAGAGCTAGACTCAAAGAGCGAAGAGGAAAATGTTTTAATATTTGCAGGCAACTTTTGTACAGTATTTATCAAAAGTAACATGGCAATCAGAATGTCCATTGGTAATAGAGAGAAGGAAAAAAAAAAAAACTTGTGAATTTGCCAATTATTTTTTAAAAATGGACTCTTACTGGAGCTTTGTGGCTTTGGCAGCTGGATTTGTAGCAGCTGCAGGAGAGGAGAGGAAATTATTTTACATCATTTGGACATTTTAATTGTTTTAGAAATTGTACAAAAGACACAAAAGGTAGGATGAGTACTTGCGAACCATGGGCTTGGTTTGCCATGGGCAAACGTTTAGATTGTACTAAATTTTTTTATTTTTTTTTATCTTACTCTTGTTAAAAAGCAGAAATTGCCATGCAGGTTCATACGCCGTTTGTTAATTTATAATAACTTTTTGTTTCCAGACTTCATTCTGTTCAAAGAAAAGAAAAAAAAAAAAAGGAAAAATATTTACCAACCTGAAATTACTGTGTTTGAAATATTTTCTTATGGTTTGTAATATTTCTGTAAATTTATTGTGATGATATTTTAAGTTCTTTTTTTTTTTTTTTCTTATTTTCCGTAGTTGTATTTTAAAGATTCGGCTGTATTATTTGAAATCAGTCTGCCGACAGTCCATGTATATATTTGAACTAATACCATCCTTATAACAGGTACATATTCAAGTTAAGTTTTTACTCCATTATGCACAGTTTGAGATAAATAAATTTTTGACATATGGACAATGAAGTTCCGCTTGAGTCTTGGATTTATTTTTGTAACGCAAGATGTTTTTTTTTAAATAATTCATGCTGTGGAAGGTTTCATCGTAGCCAACCGAGTACGATAAATAATTCAGAGATATATGGGACCCGTGAATATTTTTATATGGCTGGATAGAGAAGGCGCGATAGCTGTAATGGAGTAACGGCCGGCGTCTCCTGCGGGGGGAAGGGAAGGCGGAGGGGAACGCTCGTTTCCCTGTTCCTTTCCCTCCCGAGCCTGCGGGTACGGGGGGTAACGGGGGCTCGCAGTCGCCTGCTTTTGGACACTTGTTGCCTCCGGCGGGGCCGAGAAGCTGGCGGGACTCGGGAGCGGAGGCCCGGGTCGGGGCCCTGAGACGCGCCGCTCTCTGGCAGTTACGGATCATTTGCTTCTCTTTTCCCCACGGTGCCTTTTCCCCCGGTCTCTGAGGGGCCCCCGGCTGGAGCTGGACTGAGCGCTCCCCGCTCCCTCCCTTTGTTCCGGACTTCCCAAACTTTCCTCTCCTGGCTCCTGGGCAGCTCAGGAGGTGAGAGGTGCGGGTAGAGGGGGCACTTGGCCGGACAAAGGTGAGAAACAGCAAAAAAGGAACAAACAAACAAACCCAGTAGAATGCCAGAGACTTTCACGCTCTTTTTTGAATCCTATTTCTTAAATTGCCAGCGCGCTGTAGTCCCGTTTCGGACACTCTCCACAGCCGGTCACAGGCCAAAAGACAAGCGGTGGCGCCCGCCAAATAGGAAGAGAAATACGCCAGCCGTGCCAGGTAGAGTGTTACTTTGTACAGTTGTAACCGCAATCGCCGAGGAGGCGGCTCCGCGATGCTCCGCGGTGCTGCGCGCTGGCGGCCGCGGGCTGCGTTCTGCCCGGTGACTGGGCCCATGGGCCCGGTGTGCTGCAGAGCTGGGCAGCCGCTGCAGCAGTCCTCAATCCACCCCTGAAGCCTAGGGTTTATATGGGACTCTTAAGGCGGCTGCGATTTCCCTTGGGAAACGCACGAGGCAAAGATGCAAGTAATAATTATTTTTTTTATTTTTATTTTTTTTTTAAAGGGGTACGAAATTGGGAGCACTGTATTAGCAGACAGGTCCTGTCTTCTGCTAATGGTGCGTTGTGTGGCAAGGAAAGGATCCGATGGCTGGCTTGGCGCAGAGTGGGCATTCCAGAATGGGGGGCAAGTGTTAATCAGCTTTTTTTCTCAGGGATTTCACTTCAGCTCGGGAAGGAAGAAGGCAGGGAAAACAAAAAACCAACAATCCAAAAACCCCACACATGCACAAAAAGAACCGCTCCCCACAAAAAAGTTTCCTGACTGGCTCTGGTTCTTATTTGGTAGTGCCATTGCCTCGGCTCAGGTCTGGCCTCCATCCTGGAAGCCTGGTGTCCAGCTGAAAAGCAGCATCGCCAGACGAGAAGATGTGGAGTACTGCTCATTGCCTGGATTTGTAGTTCTGTTTCCTTTGTGCCTTTGATTTCTGCACCGTCCCAGTACTTGGTCAGCACAGCAATTTTTGCAGATTCCTAACCTTCTCTACTTCTTTTACATTAATGCAGGGAGTAAAATGTTCTTTTTCAGAATGTGAGCGTTTGCTATGCGTCCGTCTGGGGATTATTCATGTGGTAATGAGCCCACAACCCCACTCTCGCTTGCCTCGCTGGGAAAAGAGACCAGGAATGAAAACTCAATAGATATCGCGATTCCATTTTTTTTTTTTTAAGGGAATCTTAGCCAATTAACAGCAATAAAACCTGGCTCCTTTCTGAAGTGCTAACTAAAATAATCGAGAGGGGTAGCTGGAAATGTTGGTCGTTTTACAATTTGCATAAAGAAGGCAAGTTAATACCACTAAACAAAAGGCACTAAGCCACATATTCAGGCTTAGTGAATTCAGCAACTTTTTATATGGGCAATTTGTTTAAGCTTAGATTTTGGAGTACATTGGAATATATGTGGTTGAAACCTGATCTCCTTTGGACAGATTCCTTGCATCCATCCATGCATCCATCCATGCATCCATCCATCCATGCATCCATCCATCCATCTGCTTAGAGATGAGAACCCAAAGTATTTCACACGTACAGCTGAACGATTTCATTTTTAACGTGTTACTTGGAACGCCATTGCCCACTGGTCATTTTAAATTCAACGCTTTCAATAATCCCTTTGACACCTGAGCCGTTATCCTGAGTTTTCGTGTAGGGCAGCTGAAATGTGTAGCAGAGTTCATGGATGTGTTTTTGTTTTGGTTATTGAAGACCTTTTGGGTTCTCTGTGTGTTCCTTCTCGTGAATTGTGTGCTCCATAGCCCGGGTGATACTCGGTCCAAGAGCGCCAGCGTAATGTTTTGCTAACCTTCTACAGAGCCGAAATAAACCCAAGGATAAGATTATATTTTCCCTTGTGATTTTTGTTGGTTTTTTTTTTTACGGCTTTTTAAGGACTGGGGTGTTAAAATATTTTGCGGAACCGGAGAGGTAGATTAGCAGAGTTTCTTGCCAAAGCTGGGAAGCTGGTATTACAGACTGTCCCAGGGGGAAATCGCTCACATTAACCACTAAATGAATATTTGACAAGGGCTCATTCGGGGGTATTATTACTACAAACGGGTCCCTACTGGACTTTCCAAGGGTCAAAGAGCAATGGTTCAATTAATTATTTAGACCGTCAGTAGATTTGGTTGTAATAGCTGTACTTATTTCTGCGACCGACAGCTTCTTGCGGTGGGGAGGGAGAGCCGGCTCCACCAGCGATGGGCGAGAGGCTGCTGGCTGCCATCAGACTTTCCCTGCCTCAAACGACGTTTTTATTCCGTGAGATGCCCACGGGTGCTGTTGTGGGACCTCGGGGCGGTGATGAGCCCAGAAGCAGCGTGTTCTCTAGCAGTATTCATTCCTCCTCATCCAAACTGGCTGTAGCCCTATGTATCTGCCTCCGAGAAGGAGGTAGATAGCCCAGCAATTTAAGTAGCATATAATATAGGTCCCACTGAAAGAAAGGGGGCCATTACTGATAGGTGTGATTAGATACACTTAAGTTATTTAAATCCTGATCTAACTCAAATAGTAAAATCTAAAGCCCGCTGCGGTGCGGACGAGATTTCCGAGGATATGTGCAAAATGCTGACTTTGAGATGGCAGGAGAGCCTCCTCTTTGCGTTTTTTAACGCCAGCCAGCCTCGGCTGACACTGTCGTTTCAACTTTTTTTTTTTTTGTTTGTGGGAGGGGGGGCGAGAAAAGGGAGGATTATTTTGTTTAATTTCTACAACAAACATGTCCGTAGCAGTAGATACTAAAAAAAAAATTGTTGGGAGTGTGCGATTAGGTGACAATAATATATGTTGAATGAATAAGAGATAAGCTGCAAGGGGGGAGAGGGAAGCAGTAATTACAAACCCAATTCATTCAGCTTTTCAGGACTTTTGTTGTGGGAGCTCCATTGACGGGCTTCGAGCTGCCAGTTTTCTCACATTAAAAAGAACTGATCAGCGCCTCAGGGGGACAAGCAACACCGCTTAACTGCATAGTGATGGGGTCCTCATTTAGAGCCATTACAACAAGAAAATTAAACAGAGCCTTTGTGTGCACCAGGTTTACTTTTCAATTGCTGACAGTTTATAGCTAACTGCTCAGAGATTGAAGTTTGATTGCGGTTTGATCGCCTGCTAGTTAGCACCACCGCTATTTTAGTTTTGCTAATTAAAACCCAGGTTTTTTTTTCTGGCGATGGCACAAGGAATTGCAAGAAGTTTTGATGCTATTTTGCTTTTGAGGAATCAGCTCGCTTGGCTAGGACGTACCGCGCTGCAGTGAGTGTGGGGAATCTTTCATTTCCAAGCTGCAAAGAAAAGGAGCCAGGGGACGGGAATCCCCGGAGCTGCACGTTCGGCTGGGCGAAGCGGCAGGGCGAGCCCCGTCCC